GAGGTGATATATTTTTGTTGAATAAAACTTGTATTTTTATAGCACTTTTATAGGACTAATGCTTTTAACGTGCACTCTCATGTCACAGGAAAGACAGGAGCTGATATTGGGAGAAAAGAGAAACACTGAAGGATGCAGGAAGAGTCGAAGAAAGTCTGGGCAAGAAGCCCAGTTCTGAGATTCTCAGGGCACAGTTTTCTATTTTTAGCGTGCTACTTAGATCTAAACTGCAAACAGAATTTTCTTGACTCATAATACCTGTGTTTTATTTAGCAAATGAAAAAAATTTATATTTCTATGTATCTATCTATGTATCTATGTATCTATCTATCTATCTATCGTTGTAGATGGACACAATACTTTTATTTTATTTTTATGTGGTGCTTAGAACCCAGTGCCTCACACATGCCAGGTGAGTGCTCTATCATTGAGCCACAGCCACAGCCCAAATGGAAAATATTTTTAAATCCATTAAATGGCTAAGAAATATTTAGGAAGAACCAGTTAATTTACCTTTCAAGTAATCCAAAAATTGCTGAGATCCAATATGCATGTTGAGATATTTAAATATTTGTGTTTTTTAGACCTTGTTCTACTTGTTCGACTTAGTAATTAAAAATAAAATCATTAACCCACCTTGTGGTTCAGTGAAATATTTATTTCCTTACCAACTTGTAAAGATAAGAAAGAGGCTTAAAGTCCACCCACTCAAAAAAAAAAAAAAAAACATACTCCTAGAAGAAATTATATGCACAAGAGTAAAATGAAGAATTATTATTCACAATGACACTACTAAATTACATCGTGAAAGACAGGACAAACTAAACATACAGGACAGAAAAACTTTAATTTGGTTAGAATTTTAGCACCAGTAATATTCAGTTTTGAAACACACTACAAAGGGCTAATGTCAAGAAGGAAAAATGCCTCCTGCTTCACTCCTCTTGCTAAAGATTGCTTTGGTATTCTATTGTTTTGATATTCTAGGTCTCCTATTTTTCCAAATGAATTTCATCACTGCTTTTTCTAATTCTATGAAGAATGTCATTGGAATTTTAATAGGAATTGCATTAAATCTGTATAACGCTTTTGGTAGTATGGCCATTTTGACAATATTAATTCTGCCTATTGAAGAGCATGGGAGATCTTTCCATCTTCTAAGGTTTCCTTCAATTTCTTTCTTTAGTGTGCTGTAGTTTTCATTGTACAGGTCTTTCACTTCTTTTGTTAGACTAACTCCCAAGTATTTTATTTTCTTTGAGGTTCTTGTGAATGGGGTAGTTTCCCTAATTTCTCTTTCAATTGATATATCACTGATGTAAAGGAATGCATTTGATTCATGAGTGTTGATTTTATATCCTACTACTTTGCAGAATTCACTTATGAGTTCTAGAAGTTTTCTGGTGGAATTTTTTGGATCTTCTAAATATAAAATCATGTCATTAGCAAACAGTGATTGTTTGAGTTCTTCTTTTTTTATTCATATCCTGTTAATTTCTTTCTTCTGTCTAATTGTTCTGGCTAGAGTTTTAAGAACTATGTTGAGTAGAAGTGGTGAAACGGGGCATCCTTGTCTTGTTCCACTTTTTAGAGAAAATGATTTCAATTTTTCTCCATTTGGAATAATGATGGCTTTGGGTCTAGCATATATGGCTTTTACAGTGTTGATCTACTATCCCTAATTTTTCTAGTTGAGGCATCAGAATACTAGACCTTAAACTATACTACAGAGCCATAGTAACAAAAACACATGGTATCAGCAGCCAAACAGACATGAAGACCAATGGCAAACAAAAGAAGAAGACACAGAGCCAAACCCACATAATTACAGTTGTCTCATACTAGAAAAAGATGCCAAAACATACATGGGAGAAAACATAGCCTATTCAACAAATGGTGCTGAGAAACTGGAAATCCATATGTAACAAAATGAAATTAAACCTTTATCTCTCGCCCTACACAAAAATCAACTCAAAGTGGATCAAAGACTTAGCCACTAGAACGGTGACCCTGTGTCTAATAGAAGAAAAAGTAGACCCAAATCTTCACCATATCAGCTTAGGAATTGACTTCCTTAACCAGACTCCTAAAGCACAAGAAGTAAAATCAAGAATCAATAAATGGGATGGATTCAAACTAAAAAGCTTCTCAGCAAAGGAAACAATACGTGTAAAGAGAGCCTACAGAGTGGGAGAAAATCTGTACCACATGCACCTCAGAGCACTAATCTCCAGGCTATATATAAAGAACTCAAACAACCTAACAACAACAACAACAATAACAAAAAAAAACCCAAATAACCAATCATATAAGGGCAAAGGAACTGAACAGATACTTCAAAGAAGAAATACAATCAATCAACAAACATATAAAAAAATGTTTAACATCTTTAGCAATTAAGAAAAATGCAAATCAAAATTACTCTAAGATTTCATCTTACTCAGTCAGATGGCAATTATCAAGAATACAAGTAACAATAAATGTTGGTGAGAATGTGGGGGAAAAGGTACACTAATACATTGCTGGTGAGACTGCAACTGGAGCAACCACTATGGAAAGCAGTATGGAGATTGCTCAGAAAACTTGGAATGGAACCATCATTTGACTAAGCTATCCCCTACCTCAGTTTATACCTAAAGGACTTAAAATCAGCATACTACAGTGACTCAGCCACATCAAACTTTATGACAGCTCAACTTACAATAGCTAAACTATGGAGCTAACTTAGGTGATGAATGGATAAAGAAAATGTGGCATATATACACAATGGGATATTACTCAGCCTTAGAGAAGAATGAAACTATGGCATTTGTAGGTAAAACGATGGAGCTGGAGAATATCAGGCTAAGTGAAATAAGCCAAACCTCCCCAAACAAAGGCTAAATGTTTTCTCTGATATTCAGATGCTAATTCACAATAAGTGGGAGGGGCAAGCTAGGAAAGAATAGAAGGACTTTGGAATGGACAGAGGAAGTGAAGGGAGGGGAGGAGGTATAGGGGTAGGAAGAATAATAGAACGAATAGGACATTATTACCCTATATGCTTCTATGATTACATGAATGGTGTGATTCTACATCATGTATAACCAGAAGAATGAGAAGTTATACTCCATTTACCTATGATGTGTCAAAGTGCATTCTACTGTCATGTATAACTGATTAGAATAATAAAATTTTAAAAAGAAAGGAAAAATGCTTTTATAGCTGTAAAGGAACAAAGTATTCTAGATAGAGATAACAACAATAACAAATAAGCAATAGAGTGGAAATACAGAAAAGTCCTCATTAATTCACGTGCCTATCTGGAGGAAAAAAAAAACACTTCAAAAGGAGGAGAGCATGTTCTGCGTCACATAAACTGGCAAACAGTGGCTGTGTTTGTTTTTTTTGTGAGTAATGATAATACTTCTAAAGACTCAAAACTGATGTTGAAATTTCTCATTTTATTTTAAAAGATCCACCCCCAAATCATCTAGTTGAAAATAGATCTTAAGGATAACGATTAAAAAATATGTGACAATGTGCTTTTAGGTTAAATTAAAATTAAAAGAAATGAAAGAAGGTTCACAACATATTGGTCTATTTTGGAAATTCACAATTGAAAGGTCTACCTCACTTACAGTGACCATGTGGAAGCATTTGTTTTATAAACGAACTACGTAAATAACTGATAGAAGCACAAAATATATGCTGTTAAATATTTCCAGACTCAAAAAGAATTACGAGTGGAAATATTCCACTTGAAAATGATGACATAACACAAAACTACCTCCAAATGGTACTTTTAATAATCTTACCTTGAAAGTGCAATGCACACATACTACAAAAGCCAATATAGACTTACCATCCCTAACTCAGGTGCGACATCAGGGCTAATGAACAGAAGGACTATATATCTATCGGGAAGGTGTTTTTTGCAGCATCTAAAGACACTTAAAGTTGTATTTTTGACAGAGCCTTCTAGGAGTGACAGGTAACCTATTTGGCCTTCGAAGAAGAATAAAATCCAGGCTGGATTCTTCTTCACTAGAAACCCTCTTCTATAAAGAATGACATTCAAGTAATTGGAAAGTAGAATTTCAACTCTTCATTTACTACATTCCCCATTTCAGGAAAGCAGAGTTTTGACTGAGCTTTTCTGCCAGTTCAGTAGAAACTACCCTATCTAAGCACTGTCTACACAAGGTCACAACTGCCCACAGTGTGCTAATGCCATTCAGAAAACTCTAATTATCATGCTAACAACATATGATATTTCTCAGGCAATGCGTTTAGAAGTTTTGAATGCTTAAATCTAGGACACCATCTAGGACATTGATGACACAAATAACTGACTTTTAAAAAATGATCCAGTGAAAGGGAGGTGTCTCTCCTGACCCGCATGAAAGCTAAAGTTGACTCAATGGCTGCTCTATCACAGCCAATGGCATTTCTCTCCCATCACATACATTTTGGGGCATCATGTGCACTTTGTACAATTAAGTTCTTTAAATAATGCAGAAACTGAGATGGATGATGTTTTAAGTCTGTACCACATTTGTAATTTAAGTGTGCAAGAGAAAACATGTCAATCTCACCTGAAGGAGTAATACAAAAAATGAATAATTATATCCCAGCCCTTTTTTTGAGTTCCAGATTATGTGAGGAGATCTAGTTCAAATTCTCGTCTTTTTGTTAATAGTAAAATAATGTAATTATTGGTAGAACCAATTCTAGGAAATTTGAAAGAAGCTTAAGTATCCAGACTGAAGGGAAGCTACTGTGAAGCTATTAAGGCATTGGTGGTGAATGTCTCCGGTCCAGCAGCACAACATCCCCTCCAGGCGATTGACCTAAACCAACTTTACTCACCAGGGACCTCCCCCAGCTGTCTCTTATGTAAGAATTCCTTGCATTATAACTAGGGTTTATCCTCAGTGGGATTACCTCACTCTTAATTCAGCCCACTTGTAAAAGCTTCTTGGATAATTTACATTGACACAACAGCCTCCACCAGACTGTACAACAATAACTTGATTTATTAAAATAATTTGCATTTTTACACATGATCTTGTTATTTGCCGCTTTTGTTTCTCCGTTCCTCAAATCAATTCACCTAACATAAAAAGAAATAAATTAGACAAAGCCAAAGCAAATAACCAGAAAAAATGTGAATTCATGGTAATATTACTTGCTTCTGGGTATAAATATAAAATATAAAATATATAATTTTAAGTTATTTAGCTTTTCCATTCTAAAATTACTTTAATTATAAGAACTTTTTTTATTTGTCTTTTTAGCCAATTCTTTTATAAGAGGTAACATTACAAGCTGTTCTTTAAAATACTGAAATGCATCTTCAAAAAGTATACACAGTTCGATAACAAAAACTGGCATACAGATATTAGAATCATGATATAACATGTGATTAATATATACAGACATCAGAACAATAATATAATAAAAAAATCAAGGCCTTAATTTATAGGAGGATTTCAGCTACCATTTTTAAAAATTAATCTTAGTGGATATTTTAAAATCTTTCCAATATTGCATTGCATATGGCAAAGTAGACAGTTATAAAATTTAAGTAAAATTATGTATCTTAGATATTAAAACAGCTACAGACACACTAATCCTAATTATAATTATTAAGGTGCTCCCCAGATCATTTGGGAGAGGTAGATTTTATACTTTCTCTAATTACATCTTTTTATTTCTTATTTTAAATACCTGGACTTTTGAAGTTTTTTCCCTGACTTCTTGATATGAATTCATTAACCTGAAACTGACCTAACTGAATTTCTGATCTATCATCCGACTCTGTAATCATTAATGGTCCATATTCATGTCTATCCAGGTTCTAGATGCTTCCCTCTCTACTGCCCACTAGAAATCCTGAGATTATTGGATTTATACTCAGGCGATTTACTGAGCCTTATATCTCCTTTTATCCCCAAGTAAGTCTAAGTAAGTGCTATAAATGAAAATACCTGCAAAGTGTTGAAATAGAAATGTATGTTGCCATGGATATAGAACTATATTTATGACCTAACCTTTCTTCTGTGCAGTTCCAAAGTCAAGAAGTAGCCAGTAAGGAGACAGAAACATAACTAAGAATGTAACCACAGAAATTAGAAAGTACATATTCTTTAATTAGCAAAAAAAATTGTATAAATAATTTCTTTTTTGTTCTCTGTTCAGTTAGACATGCCTTGTAGTTGGGTATATACAATATACTAATTTCACATCATAGGAAAAAATTTTTCCCAGTTTTATATGATTATAACTTTTATATGTCACATATAAAATAAAGTAGATGCTGTTAAACCAGTACATATAATGCAAATCATGTCACTTAAATAATTCTTTGTATTTCAAATTAACATTTTAGAAAACCATCATATGTAAAAGTATTTGTGTACATATATTATACATGCTCCAAAATTTTACAAGCAGCTATAAAGACTTATTTGAAATCCTTACAATAAATATGTAAGTTATCATTTTTGTTGAAAATGATCAAGTGAGTGCTCAAAAAACTGGAGTTAATGTTTTATGTTTTCACACATAAACCTGACTTCACTCAGCTGTTCTACTTCTCAGGTCTGTTTCAGTTATCGGAAGCCTTTTGGTCCAGAGCTCAGAGACGTTTTGCAGAAGTTTAGGCACAAGAAACTGGGGTACTTTTTTGGTTTTTCAATAAAATCTTTAATGACCACAATTTGTTTTATTTTATTTTACAAATCATTGCTGGCTAGATCTATAAAACTGGTTCATCTAACATGTTAATATTTGAGAATCCCTAAAGAAACCTAAGACAACATTAGTGGAAAAGCACAAGTTTGATTCTTCCAGATGAAATTATTTCTTATGGACTGGCAAGTTATTTCCTTGAAATAATGCCAGTTTATTAGTCTGTAATTTGGCTTTTCTCAAATTTTATTGCATTATGAAATTACTTTTCAAGAGGATGTTCAAGATTTATTAAAAAGTTTTGACTTAATCCATCTTCTATTGATTTCCATTAATATTTCAGTTTTCTGTACACCTTATATTTCTTAGGGTATTCTTAATCTTTCTTCTACCTAAACTTTCTATTTTCAACTCACTATTGATGTAGATGGGGATTTTATCTAAGTACTGTCTATTTGGTTAAAATCATATCTGTGGACTATATTTTATCTTGGCAGCACACACAAAAAGTTAGTGTTTGTTAAAGCATGTATGACCACCACTGTTGAGCATAGATGGGGTATCCCTATGCCAAGTTCTTCCCTATAATTACTCTAAACAATACTTATCTAACTCAAAAATGTATGTTCGTTACACCAATGATAGGAATACTGATCATTCTTGTAAGAACATAGTAGTCCCTGATTTCAAAACACACTACAGAATCATAATAATAGAAATAGTATGGTATTGATATAAAAACAGACATGGAGACCACTGGAGAAGAACAGAGGACCTAGAAATAAACCCACATGTATACAGCCAACAGATTCTTCACAAAGGTGACAAAAATATGCACTGGAGAAAAGTCAGCCTCTTCAACAAATATGCTGGGAAAATTGGATATTCACATGAAGTAAATTAAAACTAGATCCCTATCTCTCCCCCTGTATAAAAACCAACTCAAGATGGGTCAAAGACCTTGACATAAGATCTGAAACTTAGAAACAACTAGAAGAAAACATAAGGGAAACATTTCAAGATCCTGGCACAGGCAACAATTTCCAGGAAACAAAAGAAAGAATCAACAAATGGGAGTGTATGAAGTTAAAAAGTGTCTGCATGGAAAAGGAAACAATCAACAGAGCGAAGAGAAAAACAACAAAATGGGAGAAAAATCTTCCCTAGCCATTCACCTTCCAGATAATTAATACCCAGAATATATAAAAAACAAGGAATCTGATTGAAAAATGGGCAAATGATCTGAACAAAGACTTATCAAAAGCAGAAATACAAATGGCCAATAAACATATGAAAAAATATTCAATATCTTTAGCCATAAGGGAAATGTAAATAAAAAATACATTGAGATTATATCTCACCTCAGTCAGAAGGGCTATTATAAAAAAATAAGAACAATAACAAATGCTTATAAGGTTGTGAAGAACAAGAAACCCTTATACACTATTGGTAGAAATGTAAATTAATTAGTCACTACAGAAAACAGTATGTGGGTTCCTCAAGAAAACAAAAATAGAACCTCTTCTGGATAAAAATAGATATATTCCTGGATATATATCCAAAGGAAATAAAATCAGCATACAAAAGATATAACTGCATACCCATGTTTATTACATATTATATTTATATATTTTATATATATTATATTATATTATATATATAATTATATATATTTTATAGCTAAGATATATAGACTATAGAATCAGCCTAGATGCCCATCAACAGATGACTGGATAAAAAAAGGGTATATATACATAATGTTGTTTTATTCATCCATAAAGAAGAATGAAACCATGAATTTTGCCCGAAATGGATGGAACAGGAGGATATTGTGTTAAGCAAAATAAGCTAGACACAGAAAGAAGAAAGACAACTGCTGCATTTTTTTCTTTTATAGAAACTAACAAACAAACAAAAAATGCCCTGGAATTGGAAGAGGGATTATTAGGGAATGGGAAAAGGACCTGGGTGGGACAAGGAATAAGGAGAGAGGCGAAGGCAAGGGTGGATATGATCAAGGCACAATATATCCATGCAAGAAAATGTCAGAGTGAAACCCATTAATTTATACAATTAATGTGTGTTCATAAAAAATATAGTAAATGATGACAAAAGATGTTTTACAGGATGCAAGCAGCTACATTCCAAAATATCAAATTAAAGTCAGAAAAGTTTTCCAAGTACTTCCAAATTTTTCTGGGAAAGTTCACTATGAATTAACCAGTCAGCAATTTGTGCAAAACATTTGTAAATTTAATTCTAAGAACCTCTTTAGAATAGATAAAAATGGGAAAATAAAAATAAAAATTCAGCCATTGCACTGACGAAATTGTCTTTATGAAATTTTTTTCTCTGAAGCATTTTTTAATTTAAATATCCTATTTAAATTCCAATGACAGTCTCCATAGAAATAGAAAAAGCAATCATGAAATTCATTTGGAAAAATAAGAGACCCAGAATAGCCAAAGCAATCCTTAGCAAGAAGTGTTAAGCAGGAGGTATCACAATACCAGACCTTAAACTATACCACAGAGCCATAGTAACAAAAATGGTATGGTATTGGCACCGAAATAAGCAGGAGGTATCAAAATCTCAGACCTTAAACTATACCATAGAGCCATAGTAACAAAAAAGGTATGGTATTGGCACCAAAATAGACAAAGTAAACCAATGGTACAGAAAAGAAGAAGACCAGAGACAAATTCACATAAATACAGTTATCTCTTACTAGACAAAGATGCCAAAAACATACATTGGAGAAGATAGTCTATTCAACAAATGGTGCTGGGAAAACTGGAAATCCATATGTAGCAAAATGAAATTAAACCTCTATCTATCACCCTGCACAAAAATCAACTCAAAGTGGATCAAAGACATAGACACTAGAACAGACACTCTGCACCTAATAGAAGAAAAAGTAGGACCAAATCTCCACCAAGTCAGCTTAGGAACTGACTTCCTTAACCAGACTCCTAAAGCACAAGAAGTAAAATCAAGAATCAATATACGGATGGATTCAAATTAAAAAGCATCTTTTTAACAAAGGAAATAAAAATGTGAAGAGAGAGCCCACAGAATGGGAGAAAATCTTTACCACACACACCTCCCATACAGCACTAATCTCCAAGATATATAAAGAATTCAAAAAACTTAACACCATAAAAACAAATAACCCAAGCAATAAATGAGCAAAGGAACTGAACAGACACTTCACAGAAGAAGAAATACAACTTATCAACAAACATATGAAAACTGTTCATCATCTCTAGCATTTAGAGAAATATAAATCAAAACTACTCTAAGGTTTCAACTCACTCCAGTCAGAATGGCAATCATCAAAAATACAAGCAACAATAATTGTTGGCAAGGATGTGTGGAAAAAGGTATACTCACACACTGCTGGTGGGACTACAAATTGGTGCAACCACTCTGGAAGGCAGTATGGAGATTCCTCGGAAAACTTAGAATGCAACCACCACTTGACTCAGTCATCCTACCCCTGAGTTTATATCCAAAGGACTTAAAATCAGCATACTACAGCGACACAGCCACATCAATGTATATAGCAATTAATTACGGAACCAACCTAGATGTCTTTCAACAGATGAATGGTTAAAGAAAATGTGGTGCATATACACAATTACTCAGCCTTAAAGAAGAATGAAATTATGGCACTTTCAAATAAATGGATAGAGCTGGAGAATATCATGCTAAGTGAAATAAGTCTACCCCCCCAAAAAGGCTGAATGTATTCTCCGATAAGCAGATACTAATCCATAACGGGGATGGGGAGAATGAAGGAAGTTTGGATTGTGCAGAGAGGAGTGAGGGAAGGGAAGGATGGTGGAACGAGAGTGACATTATTACTCTATAGACATGTATGATTACACTACTGGAGTGACTCCGCACCATCTTCAGCCAGAAGAAGGAGAAGTTGTGCTCCATTTGTGTACAATGTGACAAAATGCATTCAACTGTCATGTATAACTAATTAGAACAAATTAAAAAATAAAAAAACTGCAAATAACCAAACTAAAACGTGGAAGAGCTCTTAATGAAAACAATACTATGTATGATTTCCCATTTCAAATCCATCCTCCAGAAGTACTCTCATTTAACTCTTTCAGTTGTCTGCTTTTAACTTTCCTTATAATTATCATAGTACCATTCCATAGTTTAGAAATTTTCATTTATTTGTTACCTACTGATTTCCTGGTATGAAAGATAAATATTTGGCTTACTGATACCACATGTTCTCTCTCCTTCACCATTTTCAAAGTCCAGTTACATCACCATTTTTAATTCCTTTTATTGGTTACTTTTATAAATTTTAATAAAATAACAAGACTTTTCTTTTTCCAGAAGTTATAAAGCCATGACTTCATTGCTCACTTCATACAAGAGTATTTTGGTGCTTCCCAATC